CTTCATCTTTTTGATAATTTTTATGGAAGTTATGATGAAAATTCCCATCGAAAATATCGAATATTTGCCAAAATGAGTTTTTCCGATTTTCCGATTTACAGTTCAATCGAACTGTATTCAAAAATAGAAATCTAATTTTTTGGCCATTTTTGGCAAATTTTGTTGATGTTACCCCTTACAAAAAAAGCAAAAAATCACAAAAAAATTTATTTTCCCAAATCCGTCAAAAAGTGATAGGGATGGTTAGCGTTGGTAAAAAGCTGCTCAAAACTGTCATTCCTTCATCTTTTTGATCATTTTTATGGAAGTTATGATGAAAATTCCCATCGAAAATATCGAATATTTGCCAAAATGCATTTTTCCGATTTTCTGACATAAAATATTCAGTTTTTTGGCCACAACTTTAAAAATAATTGTCTGAATATGGAATGTCATACCTCGTTGAGCTCGTATTTTAATTTCCAATCGAACTGTATTCAAAAATAGAAATCTAATTTTTTGGCCATTTTTGGCAAATTTTGTTGATGTTACCCCTTACAAAAAAAGCAAAAAATCACAAAAAAATTTATTTTCCCAAATCCGTCAAAAAGTGATAGGGATGGTTAGCGTTGGTAAAAAGCTGCTCAAAACTGTCATTCCTTCATCTTTTTGATAATTTTTATGGAAGTTATGATGAAAATTCCCATCGAAAATATCGAATATTTGCCAAAATGAGTTTTTCCGATTTTCTGACATAAAATATTCAGTTTTTTGGCCACAACTTTAAAAATAATTGTCTGAATATGGAATGTCATACCTCGTTGAGCTCGTATTTTAATTTCCAATCGAACTGTATTCAAAAATAGAAATCTAATTTTTTGGCCATTTTTGGCAAATTTTGTTGATGTTACCCCTTACAAAAAAAGCAAAAAATCACAAAAAAATTTATTTTCCCAAATCCGTCAAAAAGTGATAGGGATGGTTAGCGTTGGTAAAAAGCTGCTCAAAACTGTCATTCCTTCATCTTTTTGATAATTTTTATGGAAGTTATGATGAAAATTCCCATCGAAAATATCGAATATTTGCCAAAATGAGTTTTTCCGATTTTCCGATTTACAGTTCAATCGAACTGTATTCAAAAATAGAAATCTAATTTTTTGGCCATTTTTGGCAAATTTTGTTGATGTTACCCCTTACAAAAAAAGCAAAAAATCACAAAAAAATTTATTTTCCCAAATCCGTCAAAAAGTGATAGGGATGGTTAGCGTTGGTAAAAAGCTGCTCAAAACTGTCATTCCTTCATCTTTTTGATCATTTTTATGGAAGTTATGATGAAAATTCCCATCGAAAATATCGAATATTTGCCAAAATGCATTTTTCCGATTTTCTGACATAAAATATTCAGTTTTTTGGCCACAACTTTAAAAATAATTGTCTGAATATGGAATGTCATACCTCGTTGAGCTCGTATTTTAATTTCCAATCGAACTGTATTCAAAAATAGAAATCTAATTTTTTGGCCATTTTTGGCAAATTTTGTTGATGTTACCCCTTACAAAAAAAGCAAAAAATCACAAAAAAATTTATTTTCCCAAATCCGTCAAAAAGTGATAGGGATGGTTAGCGTTGGTAAAAAGCTGCTCAAAACTGTCATTCCTTCATCTTTTTGATAATTTTTATGGAAGTTATGATGAAAATTCCCATCGAAAATATCGAATATTTGCCAAAATGAGTTTTTCCGATTTTCTGACATAAAATATTCAGTTTTTTGGCCACAACTTTAAAAATAATTGTCTGAATATGGAATGTCATACCTCGTTGAGCTCGTATTTTAATTTCCAATCGAACTGTATTCAAAAATAGAAATCTAATTTTTTGGCCATTTTTGGCAAATTTTGTTGATGTTACCCCTTACAAAAAAAGCAAAAAATCACAAAAAAATGTATTTTCCCAAATCCGTCAAAAAGTGATAGGGATGGTTAGCGTTGGTAAAAAGCTGCTCAAAACTGTCATTCCTTCATCTTTTTGATCATTTTTATGGAAGTTATGATGAAAATTCCCATCGAAAATATCGAATATTTGCCAAAATGAGTTTTTCCGATTTTCTGACATAAAATATTCAGTTTTTTGGCCACAACTTTAAAAATAATTGTCTGAATATGGAATGTCATATCCGTTGAGCTCGTATTTTAATTTCCAATCGAACTGTATCCGAAAATAGAAATTACATTTTTCTGTTACTACCGCTAACCTGTGTTAGCTTGCGCGCCCAAATGGCTGAGAGAATAGATAAAAAAGGTCACAAAAGGTTTTTGGCTCACCCCGTATGCCTTAAAAAATAAAAATAAAAAAAAAACACCAGAATGATCAAGTTTCATTGTTGTGATTTTTGCCAATATCCATGCCGATGTCCATTAGCCTAGATACAGTAAAGCCTCTGCGAGCATGTACGCATCCTGCCCCCAGTTGACCCCTTTTTACCCACCTTTAACCCCCCTTTAACTCCCTTTAACCGCTTTTGAGCGCTCACATAACCCCTCAACAAAGATGCATTCAATCTGTCAGCTGCTGCTCCAGCTGCAATTTCCCCATGGGCCCATGTCTGCGCTTTCCCTGCAACCCTTTCAACGCCCCTCCCCCGCACTTTCCCCCCACCCCCTCTGCGCGCTTTTCACACCGCCCCACGTAGGCAAACATTTGCAAATGAGCGTTGAAGCGTGGGACACCAACACCGCAGCCGCCTCAGGTGAAAACTCCACCCTAGCCCGATCTGTCCCGCTCCCCCCCCCCCCCCCCCCCCCTCCTTTCTACGCTTTTCCATTTCCCAGGAAAGGGATTGGGGATTGGGAGTCGGAATGGAAAACGCGTGCACAATTAGAGATAGTTGCGGCGAAGGCTGTGGCAGCTCTTGCCGGGCCAAAATTGAAATATTTAATTAAATTTGACAGGAGCAGGCGGCACTTTTGCTCTTTGTCTTCCGCCGTATTTGCCTTCTTAATTTTCAGCATTGAATGTGAGCTGAAAAGCAGCATAACTACCAGCGTGTTTGCAGCAAAAATGTGGGTCATTTGAGCAAGGGAAATTTAAATTAGCAATAGGATGCACCACAACTCAGATTGGACTCAGATATACATACATATGCACAAACATATATATTAACATAGGAAGATCGCAGTTTGTTGCAAGCGGTTTAAGTTGCAACACTAGAGGGCATTTCCCACTTGGCTACCCACTCGACACCCTTTCGAATTTATTTCCACCCAAATAGAGGGGCCAATAATTTGGCCAATGACGTGCAATTATTTGCCAGCCAACTTTCTGCGGTCCTTAACCCCTATCAGCCCGCGCCCCTGCTTTTCGGCAATAGTTCGCGTGGCACGTACAAAGTTTGTCTGCTCCTTGCGAATCGCCGAATGTGAGAAATGCTGGGAAAGTGGAAAATGGCAGCGGGAAAGTCGCGAATGATTCATGGCCGCTGCAATTTAGCTGCCAACTTGCGAAAAGTACCGGAAACGCATTCATTTTCCGCATTTTTCACATCAATAATGGACTGCGGACGATGGAGGGGCAACTCGCAACTCGCAACTCGCAACTTGGCGGACTTGGCGGACTTGGCGAACTGCAGTCCTAATTAAGTTTGCAACATTTATGACTTGTTAGCCGAGGACTTGCGACGGGTTAACTAGTCAAAGTCGCCGATAATTTTGGTGGGAATGGGTAAAGTACTAATTTATCCGCAGGCTGGATGCGATTTCCTGGGATAAACTCGTACATAGAATTCCCTAAGCGGCGGCGATTGTTGACCAGGTCCCATGTTGTGGAGCTATGCTTCTCGGTTTAAATTATTTCCAGCAGTTCGGAAGAATATCCCAAGGAGGGATTACTGAACTGAGCCAAATGAGAGCCCGTCTATTTCATTTCACGCTTCGCCCACCTTGAAACTGGCCTCCAGGAGCCGCCAGGACGGACGCCAAGGATGAGTTCCTTGTCTTCAGTTTGCCCGTTCCACCCCCGTTTCTTGACAAGCCCCGAGTTGCAGTCGCCTGAACTGGTGACAGTTGCGGTTTCACTTTTTGCTGTCTTGGCCGGGCATCCAAGTTCACAAAGTCGCAATAGTGGAGGAATGGTAACCTTGCCATAGGCCAAAAGACTCAGCTGAAAGTCAGCAATTGCTGGACCGATTTATTACTTAGTGACCCATCTACGTCTAGCATCGAAGTAGCAATCAGATTTCGCTCAGATCTCAAACTCAAATTGCGGAAGCTACAAGTAAGAGCTAGAGTATTTAGAGTTCTGACTCGACTGCGAACTAATGACGTGCGATTCATATTAGTCTTATGGCCCCAGAAAGACAGAGGAAGTGAAAGCCCCATGAAAGAAGACTGAATTCGTCGCAAATCAATTTGCTTATCTCCCTGCCACTGCAGCTGTTGTCTCATCCGTGCCGAGCTAAGCCCCATTTCTCCTACTTTCTCCCGCTGTCGTCCGGCCCTCCGGCCCTCCAGCCCTCCAGCCCTCCAGCCTGCAATCCCTTTGTCTTTGTCTCGGGCGATAAGAGCCGCGTTCGAGTGACCCTTCAACCGGCGCAGCTTTAGCTTCTGCTTCTGCTCCGGATTCGGATTGTGTTGCTCTCTATACTCCACCGCTACGGTTGCCCAGCTATAGCTTCTGTAGCTGCTGCTGTCCGATAAGGGCAATATGGTGCGACTGCACTGAGAGAAATGCGAATGAAGTGGCCCAAAAATGTGCTACTAAAGAGCTGCGGCTCGGCGGGAAACGTCTTTAGTGGAATGTTGAAACGAAGTTCAATCAAGCCACTTCCCCGCCGCTGAAGTCGGCCGAATTAATCGCAGTGCACCTGGGATGACCCCGTCCCCGTTCATATTTCAGGCTTGTTTTTATGCAGCTTAACACCATGGACCCGCCTCCCTAACCGCCTCCTGCCCAGTTGCCCGGAGCTGAAAAGGGAATCCGTTAAGCGGCTTACGCCGGGCGGCAGTCCGTCCGGTGCAGAGACTCCGTTCTCGACTTTGCAAAGTTTATTAAACATAATTATAAAATATCAAAAAAAGAGTGAGAGGGGGAGAGGGCAGCGGGGGAAGCTAGGCCAGCCGGGCGAGCAAAGTGGCCATTAGCAGGCTCGCAGAGGTCCAGGTGAGATGCAGGGATAAGGATGATTCGGACCCGGATCCACTGGCCAGTGGCAGGGCTCGGCGGTGCTGCTGCTTGACCTTGTCGATGTGGGACTGGCAGGAGGACTCCTTCCTCACGTACCGGAACATGGACTCCACAATGTTGCTGGGAGTGATCGTCTTGCACTTCTCCAGCAGACCGACGGTGCACGTCTCGAATGTGTAGAGGTCGACGCACTGCCGCGGACCCAGGACCAGCTGGGGCATATCCCACTCCGTGCTAAACGCCTTGGGCAGATATCCGGCGAAGGAGGAGTTCAGGCAATTGGCGATGCCATCGCGACTCTGCTCCAGGCACTCGGGCCCCTCCTCGGCGATGAAGAGCGCAATCTGGTCGCCGTTCTTGTAGCAGATGAACTCCAGCAGCTTGTCCGCGATCCTCTGCAGCATTGCGTTGTGCGACTTCTCGTCGGTCGTCAGGCAGGGCAGGAGCGCGTCGTTGAAGTTCTTGAGACAGGTCTTGGCCTGCGGCAAGCGGAGGCAGTACTTCTCGAAGACCACGTCCAGATCGCCCTTGGGACTCGCCTCCGCGATCTCCGCCTGGATCTCCGTTATGTTGGCCAATCCGGAGAGGCACTCGACGAGGTGCAGGCCCGCCTCCTCGATGGACTTGCCCAGGGCAGAGGCGTTCACCGAGCCCTTCGGCAAATGGTCATTGGCCTTCGCGCACTTCGATTGCAGCAGCTTCTGGAAGTCAGCCAAGGTGATATTCACGTTTTGCAGGCCCGGCGGCAGATAGTTCGACTTCAGCTGGTCCACATCCACGCTCTCGAGCAGCGAGGGATCCAGGGAACCAGCCAAATCCACGGATCCAAGCGCGGCGTTAGCCACGAGGACCAGCAGAAGCGCACACAGCGGACGAGGCGACCAGTTCGACATTCTCGCACTGACTGGCTGCAAAGTGCGGACGCGGACAGCTGGAGCTCGCAGCCGGGGTTTCTTATCTCTGGGGTGTGGTGGCGGGTAGCAGCACTATCTACCGATCCGGGGTCGGTTTATGGGCTCTGAGATTACGGCGACCCACAAAGGCAATCTCCCGCCTAATTCGTGTATCAGTAATCAGTCGGGGAAAACAACCAGCAGCAGTATTCCGCCTGAAACGAGTATGAAAGTATGCGTCCCTGGCGAGGATTTGCCATTTGAGCCTTACAAACTTTCCATCGGAGCAGGCACATATTTTGGGCGAAAATGAAGGTGCCAAGGTGTAAGTTGCACAGTTAAGTTGCAGGGGATTCAGCCAATCAAAGTCTGGCCCACAACGGCTTAGGTTGTGATTACTGCCCGATTGTATTGATTACCGAAAACAGCAATACACGTTTGATGTGCACGTAAGACGATAAGCCTGGCTGCTGACACTTGACTGCAGTTCAAATAGGGCCTTTGATAATAACCCAAAGCCCCGGCAAAGCGGCATTGGTCCCGCTGTTATCAGGGGAGTTCACTCTGGCCACTTGGCGGATTTGGCGAATTTGGTGTGCAGATAAGCCCTGTCGCCGGATTTCCTGATCGCATGGCCTTATCGCCCTATCGTGTTTAGTAGGCCCAATCAACTTGGAGGCGTTCAGCCCTTAAGTGGTTGTGATGCCGAGCTCTTTAACATTGTGACTATTTATTGTTCCCAAAATCACTCGAAAGTGCTCATTAATGCACTTCTTTTTGCACGGAATAACCCTCGTGCTGCAGCCACCATGCCCCCACTATGCGGGGTAGAAATATAGCAACACTTGCAACACTTGCAGCTGCAACACGACCATCCGAAAAACACTGACAGCAGCTAAAAACAGGAGAGCAAACAGCGAGCAAGAAAGTAACAATTTATCTTCGTTTGCTGCGGAAGTTGCAAGCGCAATAAACAACATCGGAAGGGGCGGGCGGCGCGAGGGGCGTGGCGAGCATAGGGTGCCAGCACACCGAATTTTCGGTTCAAGCTTATACCGAAAATTGCAGCGAAAAGGGGGAATGCAGGCAAATTGAAATGAAGCGCGTGGCTGGGATTCCTAAAAAATGGGCACAATTAATTGCTGCTCACTGTTTCGCTTGTGGGCGTGGCCGGGGGGCAGCACTTAGTGGGCGGTGTGCGCCAAGGGGCGTGGCAGCATTAGTTGGCTGCAATGAGCCGGCATTGCTGCATTTGTCCACGGTTGCGTGGTCAAACAGGCAAGCGGATATTCCTCTGTTGATTCGGGGTAATTAATCAATCAATTCCGAAGTAATTAAACATTTGGGTTCACTGCACGTTCATGAAGTCCGGTGGAATGCTTGTGTTGTCATCGCCAATGAATCAATTTGGGGCAAAGCAAAATCCCTTCGTTTTGAATGAATGACACATGAAATCAGGCCACTTGGAGGGACACTTGTGGCGTTTTCTGTTGGCCGGCATCCATGGATGAGCAGCTGGGAAAGTCGGCGAGGAGCGGGTTGCCCAAGTGGGTGGCAGCGAGGAGCGGATGTTTGGCGACCGCCTAATTGCAGCTGCCAATAAATGGAGGGGCCAAGTGGAGGGGCAAGGAGCAAGCGGATGCCATTTGCCAATTGCTTTGCCATCGCTTACGCTTCCGCTTCCGTTTCCGCTTTGCCGTCCGCTCATGTGTGTGCGATGCGTTTGGCCACTGATAATTAGCTGAAGGATATTTATGGCTGGCAGCAGGAGCCGAAGCCTTGATGGCGAAGTCATGCAGAAGTGTGCTAAGTCGAACATGGAATTCTTTGCCTCTGACGGCTCATAACTCGTAGCTCAGTTTGCAATCAATCGGAATGCACAGAAAGCTGATAAGTGGTTCAAGGTTCCCAGCTGTACATGGATTCACCACCCAGTTTAGAGAGCACAATTAAATCGAGTTCAAGCCGCAAACGCAAACGAGAAGTGCAGAGAGTGTGCAGTTTATCGAGTCGCAACTTTGGCCCTTAAGAGGGGCTACTCCGCTTCCCAGGAGCCGCCATTCAAGCTCCATGGGAGACAAGCAACAGAACAACAGAACAACAGAACAACAGAACAACTGAACAACAGAACAACTGAACAACTGAGCAGTGGCGAAAGAAATGCAATAAATAAAACAAGCCGCAAACAAACTTTCGCCAGCCGCAGCATCCGAGAAGGGGAACAAAATCCATTAAAGCATTTAGCTGCACGGAAAGGGCTTTGAAATGGCAACATTTGTGGATCGATCTGCCGCAGCGAGGCAACAAGGATGCGCATAATATTAGGGGCGCCTCTAAGAATAAGCTCGAATGCTAATAAAACACAATTCGAATACGTATTGCGGGCTTAGAGCAATGATATGTTGGCATATGGCATATGGCATATGGACAGATATTTGGAAAGCAACAGGAATGCTTGGATACTTGCTGGCCGGTCCCCTACATTTGAGTACCTCTGGAGCCCCGAGGAAGTAGGTCCTTCTGGCTGAAGGATAAATCTGTTAACCCTAAGCATAAGCCAATAAACAATGGCCAGGAGAACGAAAGGAAGCGCACCCTTTTCACTCCTTTTGTGGGTAATGCGAATTGGTTGACTGGCGCTTAGATAAAGTCAAATTATTCGTGCTCTGTTTGCTCGTGTGTTTGTTTTTCCTTCATGGTGTTTGTTTGTTTGTTTGTTTGTTTTCCTTTCCCTGGGTTCCTGGGTTCCTGGGTCCCTGAATTGGCAAAGAGAAACTCTTTCTTTCTGCCACACACACCGCACCGCACCGCACCGCACCTCACCTCACTTCAGCTCACTTTTCGCCATCTCGCATCCTCTCGAGCACTCGAGGATTGACTGACAGTCGTTGTGTTATTCTTGCTGCTGCTGATATCCTGCCGCAGGAGTTGGAAACAGCGTGTGTCGATGATTTTTTACCGAACTTTTCACTTTGATTCCGTTTGAATTTCCGCAGGTCTGCACAGCAGGCGCTCTGCCCGTCGCCTCCTCGTTTCTGGTTTCTGGTTCCTGGTTCCCTGCTTTTTTCTTCTGATCACGATGCGGGATTGAATGAATTTGAGGAATATCTCGCAGCGTCTTCGACAAACAAAAGGGACGGTGCGGTGCGGTGCGGTGGCTTGGGTGGGACCCAGGAACTCACACATGTTTGCATGGCAAATCCGAAACCAAACGAGCACTTCTGTTGCTTTACTGATACCCCCATTTACACCTGGAGAAGCAGGCCGTATAAGTATGGGGATTGGGGTAGTATTGGGGATTTAGATTAGCACTAACCCTGTGGTTACCCATTGGGCTGATAACAAATTCCACACCGATAACTGTCTAAGCCGACTAACAATTGGAAGTAGGTAGGTAAAACGTCGGCGCTTTGACAGCAGCATACTCGCATGTGTGCAACGGTATCCGGTAGTCGAGTCAGGCCGATTCCTTGTTTTTTGGCACACGCGCCGCTAAAATTGCACGGCGAACGTAGCGCGGCAAGTGGCAGGGAAAGTGGGCGAGGTAGTTTCAAATGTTTGCTCATGTAAATCGAGCAGACCGTCCCGCCCACTGCTCCTCCCGCCCACTGGCGGGGCGGGGGGAGTTTATTAACGTTTGGCGTGGACGCCCACCGACATTTTCGACTCGATGACGGCAAACATTTGCATTTCGCATTCGGCTTGTTGTCATCGGAGGCGGCTTAGGCGGCGGCAACTGAGAGTCCGGCTCCTGCTATCCCCACATCCTGATCCCCACATCCTGATCCCCACATCCCGATACCCCACCAGCGGATTTCCGCGCTCCTAGTGCCCGCTTTAAGCTCCCATTCCCCACTGGAGCACGCGATTTCTTACTTGCAACGAGTACTACTGTTCAGTACTAACCTTTGCTCCACGAGGACGCACCATCATCCCGTCCGCCATTCGGATGTCCGCCACTTTGAGGCACATTAACACTAACATTCGATCGTTCTGAGTGCGCCGCTCAGTTTTGGCAATACACACGCTGCAATGGAACAGGGTTGTCACGCTTTTGCATTTGGGCAGTGCTGAAACTCGCACTTACCGAGATAATAAGAGAGATAAGAGCAAGAGCAGATCTGAGCTGATAAAGCTTGCTCTCCTGAGTACAAAAAGCCCAAACTGGCCCAACCAGACCACTCAGTTATAAAAGGTATGAAATGGAAACAGTAGCAACACCTGCGATGCCCAGGCTTGCACTTCATCAGAATCGAAATTGAAATCGCCAAAGCAGAAATGGCTGGTTCGTTTTCAGCCATGCTGTGACCTCATTATCATTGTAAGCGCCGAACACAAAGCCATTGGGTTTTATTGTCTTGCCGTTGTCAGTGTTTCAGCTGCTTTTAATTGGATTCAGCTGCTTGGCTATGATTCATGAGGCGATTCAGCTGCCGTAGCCGCCTGCGTTGCACTGGCGAATGGGAATGCACGTGCCACCGGCGTTCCTGGCGTAGCCCTGGTTGCAGTAGCATCCATCGGGGCATCGAATGTGTCTGATCAGGCAGGGCTTGCCCAGCGTAGCACACTCCGTTTGGCAATCGGGTCCACAGGCCAGATAGGTCTCGTTTTCCGGGCAGTTCCGTGGCGCTGGGGAACGTTAGAAGCTTGTTAGAGGGCCTGAGGTTGTGGGGCTGGGACTGGGACTGGGGTTTCTCCAAGGGATGGATGCACTTACTGATTCCGGGAGTCCGTGATGCGACGGCGAGAAGCAGGCAGCAACAGCTGATCAGCAGCGAAAAGTTTGAGCGAAGCATCGTCGAGATCGTTTACTTGCGGAGCATCCACAGTACACTGAATCGGTGAGCTCACTGCCACCTAGCATTTATACCCACTACGCAGAGTGGGCAGGAAGGGTATACTGTGTGTCTGATCATTGGCGATGGGCTACTTACACGCAATATTAGGTTCTTTTACACTTAGCAAACAGGAGACAAATCACATCATACAAATCAGCTATGGAGCATCGAACTTCTACATACCGGACTTCCCTCGCTCGACGTTTGTAAAGGTTGTTTTGCTTGGTTGCAAAAACACACGAGTCACCTATTTTGGTGGTCCACGATGTAGATGCTCGATTTGACATACAATTTGTTGAACTTATACATAGATACGTAACATAAAAATGGCGTGCAGGGCATCCCACAGTCGACTCCGCAGAAGGTGAACCATGAGAGGGGGATTCACTTCCACGTAGTCCCATCTCCTTTGTGGGAACCACAGCGCTGGCTTACAAAAATATCTTGGTGGTTTATTTGATACAACGTGTGAACTACAAAAAACTTTAAAATGTGGAGGTGGATGCGGATGCCGAGCTGCAGGAAGATTCTCAGGGGGAGCTGCTGCGCCTGCGTCGCTTGTACCGCTTGTGGGACTTCTTGGTGGGCGTGCGCCGTCGTTCCTGCTGGCGTCGCTGTTCCGCATTTCGGCAGCTGGAGGTACGCGATCTGCTCCGCCGTTTGGTTCTTAATATGCTTCTGCTCCTACTCCGCCGAATGCTTTTGGAGCGGCTTCTACTTTTGCTCCGCCTCCTCTTTTTGGGGGTCTTCGTTCGCTGCGTTGACGGCTGCTGGGACTTACGTGGCGGGATCGATGACGGCTCCCTGGAACGCCTGCTGCTCTTCTGCCGCCGTCGGTGCGAGGACTCTCGACTGGAAGCGCTGCTGGCACTGCTGCGGTCGTTCTTACTGCGACTTCTGCTTCGGCGGTGGGTTTTGCGATGGCGCGAGCTGGAGGACCGCGATGAGGTAGTGGCCACAAGCTGGACGTCGTCGTCGTCGGAAAGAAGAACGGCAGGAGGAGGTGGAGCAGCGGTGGGAGGAAGCACGGGTTTGCTGGTGAAGGTGTTCGTGCTGTCATCATTAAGCAGGTTGTACTTCTCCAGATCGCCGCCATCCTCTTCATCGTCGTCCTCCTCATCCTCCTGCGCGCTCCTTTTGAGCCTCATCTCAGGCCTCTGATCGACAACTTCGTCATCGTCGTCGGGCCCAAAGTAGGTAATTGGTATGGAACGGACAGAATCGCCAGAGTCGTCATCACTGTCGGCGGTCGCAGCTCCTGCTGCGGCCTCTGGAGGATTTGGACCAACAACAGGCACAGCAGAGCCCACAGTGGCACCCTCACCTGGTAAAAATCAACGATATTATACACAAGAAGCGTTTGATTCACGGTGGGCTCACCTTTAATCTGATTTAGAAACGCCATGGCCTTTCGCTTCCGTTCCAACTGCAACTGTTTCTCGCGGGAAATCATTCCGTTCAGCTTCTCGCGGGCAATCTGCGCCAGCTTGTCCTTAACGCGCTCCTCAGCTTCAAGGCAAAGTTGTGCAATTATTAATACAAGGCTAACAGAGTTGACTCTACGTATGTATCTACATCGTACCTTGCCGCTGCTCTTTTTGCTCTTTTTGCGGTGAGGAACAGGAGGAGGAGTTGGCCTTCTGCCCTGCGGTCCTGGCCAACAATTGCGTCTCTACTTGCTTGATGGCCCGTTGCACACTATCTGGCATACCCGGTCGCACTTGCTCCACCGCGGCATTCGAACTGGCCTCCTCGTCGCTGGCCTCCTGCGATAAAGTGTTTTGCAATGGACCTTGGTCATCTCGAGCCCGAATGGAGAAACTTACAGGAGCTACAAAAACCAAAAACCAATACAAATTAAATACCGATTCCGGGGAAACCCTTTGTCCGGAACTCACCCTTATCCAGATGGTTTCCACTCGCTGCTGCTGCTGCTCCTCCAAAAGATAGGCCCTTCTTTGACATTAGGGCTGCAGCTACGGCTGCTGCTTTCCTAGTTTTCTCCTCCTTGGAAGCCGCATCCACATCGCCCGTCACTTTGTACAAGTAGTATGGATAGTACTCATTCGCCGGCAGCAAGAAACTAAACCTTTCCACGCTCTTCGTGCGAAGGGTCTCCTCGAATTGGCGTCCATTCTTGATTACGTACGTGGCCGTCTTGTCGATGATGTGCCTAAGACTCTCCTCCGGAACGGGAAACGTTAGCACGGGCTCCGGTTTCTGATAGAAAAAATAGATTATATAAATGACTGTTTATTGTGAGAACGCTTACCTTTTCCACCTCCTTTTCTGGCTGAACTTGATCTTCCTCCTCCTCACTTTCAGAACTGTAGTTTTGGGCCAACGCCAGAGCACTCGTATTCTTAAGCAGCTCCACCTGCGGTGGCTCGCCACTGCCGCCATCGTTCTCATCCTGCTGCTCGCGGATCGTCGATTCCTCCTCGTGTGTGAAGGTACTCCCGTTGTACTGGAGCAGCACGGGTGTGAACTCCCCTCCCTGGCTGTTGTGACCTTCGGAGCGGCAGCTAAGTGTGGGCGAGGCCGTGCCCCCCGAGTGCTGCGAGTTTGCTGGATTGCTCGACTCGTCCTCCAGCAAAACCGCTTGGAGGGGCACGCCCTTGATCTTGCTGATTAGCTGGGTGTAGGCGCAGTTGGCCGAGGGCTTGTACTTGATGGTGGGCACCGTGATGACCACTTGGTTGGGGTTCCTCCTTCCACCCGCTGCATCCTCGTTGTGTTCGTCGGTTGAGTGTGCTTCCTTGTCCGTATTCTGCTGATCCAACGGAGTTTCCGGTGCGGGCGGGAACTTGGCCGCCTTGATTGCAGCCAAGAGGTGACGGTAGTAGGGCTGCAGGTGTCCACCTTGGGTCAGAAAATCGAACTGCGTGTTGTTCGCCTGCTTTGCCTTGATCAGAATTTCCATTTGGGCGCCCTGGGTGGCGATAAAGCGAGCAGTCTTCTCGATAATAGCGTGCTGCTTCATCGTTTCCGGCTGAAATGGCAATTGTGAGAACATTACAGTGCTCTTGGTTTAATCATACTCACCAGCTGCATGTCCAAGGGGGGCGCCATCATCAGGGTGTAGGGCAGGACGAAGGGCAGCTCGCTCTCCTCGGAATCCGGCGAGAGCTGGGAGGGCGCCGTCGAGGAGCCACTGAGGGAAGTGGAGGCTGCCGACTGGCCATCGTACTGAAAGCCCACCTGGCTGTAGCTGCCGCCGGAGGTTTCCTGCTGCAGTCGCTTGAGGTCCTCCTCTGCAGGATCCGCGAATTGGGCCAAAAGAAGAGCAGAGAACACACAAGGTAGTGCGATTTTAGTAAGGGCGGAGTGGCAGCAATAACTAATTCGAATCAGAGCGAGAGGAACGTATACGAGTTGATGCGAACGACAGAGAGACAGAGAGAGAGAGAGAGAGGAAGGTGCTGGGCAACAAAAATCGCTGGGTTCCTGGATCTGGATCCCTGACAACCCACGCCCAAGCAGGCGCTCCAGCTAATATAACCTGAAAGAAACGATTTAATCTGTCAGGTAGTGAGGATTACGTATTTACCTGTTCCAAGAACGGACTCTCTGGAAATATCGAGGGGATGTCGGTGGTATCTTTATCGGTGGTTGGATTTGATGTGATTGGTACTGATTTGTTTCAAGTTATTTTCGATTTGGGTTTGATACTTTGCGTTTCTTGATACTTGTAATACAATGTACAATTTGAGGAGTTCGGGATTGGGGGTGTCGATATGCACATACTTACACATGTCTTACAATTTTATTTGACAGTAACTAGTTTTCAAAGCTGGTAGTCGAGCAGCGTATTACAACCGCCCATTTTACTGTGTTGGAGCTGTGCTCCAGAAATCTCTTCCATCCACATTCAGAACAGAGATCCCTGGGGTCTCGACACCAAATCAAGAATATCGACACCCCTGCCCGGATCGTTGGATCTGAAGGTACTACCAGCCCACCGTGGTGCTCACCTTGTCGCAGTCGCAGCTCCTCCTCGTTGTTGTACAGAAACAGGTAACGCTCCTCCTCACACAGCTGCTCGGCGCGCTGCTCCTCGGCGCTCAAGTACTCCAGCCGGTTGCCGTATCCGCCTGGTGGCGCCTCGTGGGGCGCCAGTTCGCAGAGGGCTCCACGCACATCGTATCTGCGGTTCGCGGTAATCGTAATGGTTGGTGTTGGTGTTCGTGGAGCCGAAAGAAAGCAAGCAGAGAAATATAAACAGAGAGGAAGAGAAGCATTATCAGTGGGCGTGGCAATTTTGAGAGGCGACGCGAAACGGGGCGGGCGAAACAAACGGGGGGGGAGGGGAAGGCGCAGGACCGCTCCTTGCAAATCTCCCCATTTGCTTCGCACACTCTCGCGCTTTTACACAATATTGATAGTCATACGGTATACAGTATATATAATGCAGTTTCAGATTAGATTAGGTTTTAAGGCTAGAGATCGTTCATATACATACCGCTCCGGTGGCTAAAAAGTTAATCGGATTACATTTAAAATGGGCAAAGAATTACAGTTTTCAAATTGTATATGGATAGAGATTACAGTTTGAGAAGCACTGAAAAGAGCTGTTATTACAATGGTGTGTGGGCGTGTGTGTCTGTGTGTTGCTTGTGTGGGTGGTTGGTTGGGTGGGTGGGTGTGTGTGTGTGTCTGCAGTTCGCCGTTTGGAATTAATACAAAAAACTGTAAAATAGCTACTCAGACGATCAGTTTGAAACCGAAAACCCTCTTCTTGATTTTATCAAAAAAAAAAAAAACTGATTCGGTCCTGTTATGACTTATCCAAAATTTGTTCAAAACCTATGCGTTTGTAATTGTACTCGACTACTACTTATTCTACTTCTACCGCTTCTTCTAATAACTTGACCGCTGCTGTGTGCGGGAGTGTGGTCCTAACGAGGCACGATATGGGTGGGCATGTGGCTGTGTGTGTGGTGTGGTGTGGTGTTGTGTGGCAGTGGAGTGCGTACTGATTAATCGTATAATTATTGCTCGGGTTAGTCCCAATTATTAACCTGTCTATCTTGAGATTTACATCGCCCATCCAGGGAATCAACTGCTTGCCGTGGTCCATTTCCCGCGCCTTCTCATCATCCCGGAAAATCTTGCAGGCGTAGCCAAACACGAGGAGTTCCAACGGCGTCTGCCTGTGGCTCTCCACGCTTGGGGAGCACACTGCTCCCGCTCCTTGTCCGCCCGCGCTGTTTCCATTGCTTAGAATCGTGCCTCCGGCCGATCCTTGGCCTGTGCGCCGGAGGATTCCGCCAACGCTTCCGCCACCGGCGTTTCGCACATTGTAGGGCATCATCGCAGCGGACAAACGGCGCACCAAGCACCAAATGTGCAATTTAAGAGCTTCGCACTGGGCTCCACTTCCTCTCTCGCTCCCTCCGTCTCTTGCGGCTCACTCACTTTCTGCGGAGATCGATAGCTAGGCTCTGTGCTCAGAGGATCTCATTCTACGGCTGCAGTTTGGTTAAATTCTTATATTTTCGTTATATTTATATTTGTATATATGTAGTACAAATATGCTATGCTAGAGGTGGAAGCTCATCGATGTCATCGCAATTCTAGAGCGGCGTTATCCACTCACGATAGTATCGCCAAATGCTCGCTCACATGGCTTCTATCGATAGTATCGACGCGGCTCATCGCAGAATTCAAAAACAATTTTTAATGAAATTCATTTGAAAATTGTGTCGCATACAATATCCATTTTTCTCTAAAAATGCAATCAGATTTATTTACTGTGTACACAAATACGTAAGCCAGTTACCTTAATTCTAACAAGTAACTGTAAGCTTGAATATGCAAAACACGCATAGTCACAGTCTCACTGAAACCCCACGTTTTCTCAGTCAGTCCTTGGCATTTGGAAACTTCAGGGTACGCAGTTTCGAATAAATAATGTCCCAGTCGACATAGGCGCCCACCAAATGGCGCTCGTTGCCTGGCGCATCCTCGTAAGCGGTTCTTCCGTGCAGCATGCGCAGGTTATTGAAGACGAACACATCGCCGGCTTGCGTCTTGAACTCCACCGCCTCGGACTGGGCGATCTCAAGGAATTTATGGTAGGCCTTGTACCAGGACACGGCCTGCCCTAGGGGAACGGAGAAGCGGCTGTCCCGCTTGGTGGTGTTCTGGTTGATCCTCGTGAACCGGCCATCCACATCCAAGCAAATCACTGGCGCCCTCCAGAGACTGTGGAAGGGCTTGGAATCGTCGCCGTCGTGTCCGATGTCAAACCAATTCACGGGCACCGTTTTGAGCACCTCGAAGTCCTCCGGATGCAGTTTTCGCAACTGAGCGGCCACGTTGAAGCCGTCCGTCAGGGTATTTGCTCCACCCTTCGACTCCGACTGGATGAGTGTGTGCAGGATGTTGATGCCCGCCTTGTACTCGTAGTAGGGCATGTCGGTGTGCAGCGGCAGGGGAGTCATTAGATAGGCGTAGTTACCGGCATTTGGTTTGGATTTGACCTCGAAAACGTCGCTAGGGGAGGCGGGATAGTAAATAATATGTAGCTGGAGTTGAGTAGTGCAACTAAAGGGTTTTATCGCTTATTCTCGAAATGGGGCAGGCATATTCTGTATCTTGTAGCGTTAGTGATAATCGAATGAATGAAACTAATGAACCTCTGATGGCTCTAGAAAGGCTATTTGCCCACTGTGCGCTATCTCCAAATCTTTATCGTGAATACAAAACTAAAGATATCCTGTATATCTTAATAAACTATATAAAAAAAAAAAAAAAAAAAAAAAAAAAAGTATTGCAAATATTGATTCTGGCTGTAATAATCAAGCGATTTTGATAATGTTTTGCCGGCTGGTAGATAATACGGCTTTCAGAAAATGTGACTTCTATGACCCTGGTACAGTACCGGTGGAGTAGGTGTTTTATCAGTTAATATTTACCCGTAGGTGGTGCGTTTTATGTAGCCAATCCTGTTGGCCAAGTTCTTGGCCACATTTAGGTCGTTGGGAGCACCTTTCAAAATAGCGAATCCTTGGACTGCCAGTGCCTCTAGCCAATCCCTTAGGGCTGCATCTTGCTGCAGGACATCCTGGTATTGGAATTCTTTTCTCACATCCTCGAACGCCGACTTTCCCCACAGTCGTGCGGGTGGCTTATAGACCTCCTCCAAGTAACGCTTTCTGGTCGCCTCTCCAAAGTCCCTATCTCTTAGCCAGCCCAGGTCGAAGGTGCTCTTGTGCTTGTCCTGCCAGACGATCTCCAACTGCTTCTTCTGCCGGTTGTAAGCCACTTGAGACACCGGTATATTCAGCGGTCCACGCTCCCAGTGACTTTTTCTGGCTCTTGTTGCTGCGTGGAAGCACTCAGCACACTGACAATTGTCCCTTAGCCAAACTTGTGGGTACTTGAGGACATTGCCCTGCTCCTCCTGTACTTCCACATAGTCGGCGGCTCGCACACAAGCAAATGTGCTTGTTTTCCGAAAAGGGAGCAGCCGAGAAATCAGTTGCCTACAGCTCAGCATTCCGGGGTCAACTGCCGAACCATCAGGCGATAGTACAAGAGGCAGGCTGACTGATTAGCAAAGCTTCAGCTAATCGCTAATCTATCTCTTCGGCGAAAGACACCACATGCACTACGGATTGCGGCTACAAGAGGCAGGCTGACTGATTAGCAAAGCTTCAGCTAATCGCTAATCTATCTCTTCGGCGAAAGACACCACTTGCACTACGGATTGCGGCTGCTCCAACCAGCAGTCTCTTTGACTGTTCGCCGAGAAGGTTCGCCGGCCTGAGCAGAGTGAGCACTCTAAAAACAGAGAGATACGTTCAGTGCTTTCGTCGACTTGGACCTCAGATGCCTGGGCGTTCCCTGAGTTCTTGCTTTTGGGCTTCTTACGCTGCCTGCGATTTCGCTTTTTCTTCGTTTCGGCTTCCCCGCTTGAGGGAGCATCCGGAGCAGTCGCCTCCTTGGGTGCTCCGGCCACCTGGAGCTCTGTATTCACTCCGGGAATCAGGGGAAGGGAACAGCGCCTGCACAGGAAACGCTTCAAGGCCGGGGCCCTTGAAACCAGTTGTCGGCATGAATTAATGTCGAATACTCCTCCGGAGAATCCACTTACATGTGCATAGTTGCCTTGGTGCCCACATTCCGGCAGAGTTTGCCATAGTAGGCGGCTAGTTTGGCTTGATTGCCTGCTGCCATTAGGTTGGAGGCCTGGAACAGAAAGTTCATACGTGAGGCTATGTCCCGCTGGCTCACGTGCTTCTTCTTGTCCCTCCCCATATTCTTCGGGTTTCGTTGCACAGAGCTGGTAGATTTAATGAGTTTTGCGCTCTTGTTGCATTTGAAAACACATGGGCGTCGCGGTATGGCCGTTTCCGGAACGCCAAAATATACTTCGATATACCAACATAGAAATACTAAATAGTTCGATATTTCAGTTACTGTTTCAAGCGCACATATTGAACTGAGTTCTTGGGCCCTTTGGAAATTGAACAGTTTCGATTTGGGCTCGTGGCATCTGTTACTGATATTTCTGATGGGAATCAAATTATGCGAATTGGCAGAGTAATATATTATTTTTGAAGAAAGTCCCAAATTGGAAGTACACACCTACCAACGATAGTATTTCCAATACTAGGATTTTGCAGCTCCGCGCGGCTGGTCGCACTGGTGAAGCCAGCTGTTTCCCGCGTTTTTGATTCGCGAATTGCAATTGGCAAAAGTGCAGCGGCAGTGGAAAGTTGGAAAATAGCGCAAGCCGCAGGGAACACCTCAAAATGCAACGCACTTCGCTCACGTAGAATTTGCACTTTGTACCGCAAGCGATTGGCAACAGACCGCAGTCCAAAAAACAGACCGTTTCCAGCAGCCGATTGGGACGACTATTCGTCCCGCCAGAACTATTCACCATGTTTGTCCAGGATCTGCGCAACGACTTCTACCGCCAGCTGGTTGGCAAGCGCATCTTGATCGTGGTCAACTATGACATCGATGCCATCTGCGCCAGCCGCATCCTGCAGGCCCTGTTTAAGTACGACCACATGCTGTATACCGTGGTGCCCATCATGGGCGTTACGGGTCTGAAGAGGGCCTATGGAGAGCACCAGGGCGATGTTAAGTACGTGGTGTTGATGAACTGCGGCGGCTGCGTGGATATTGTGGAGCTCCTGCAACCGGCGGAGGACGTGACCTTCTTCATCTGCGACTCACATCGCCCTTTGGATGTCTGCAACATCTACAGCGATCGGCAGGTGTGCATCTTGGGGGATGCCTCCTTGGAGGAGAATATTCCCGCTTTCGAGACCATTTTCTATGACTCTGATGGCGAGGACGAGGAAGAGGAAGAGGACGAGTCCTCTGACCCGGAACAGCAGCATAACGACAGTGGTGCCGGGGAATCGGATCAGGAGGATGAGGCGCCAAAGAGCCGTAAGCTTAGTCGCCTGGAGCGGCACGAGCAGCGCATTCTGAAGCAGCGAGCCCGCCGACAGTGGGAGTCCGAGCGCGACAGGATAATGTTCGAGTACACACAGTTTAGCTACTACGGCAGGTCCGCCGCTTTGATGGTTTTCGAGTTGGCCTGGAAGCTCTCGAAAGACAACATGGACCTCCTCTGGTGGGCCATTGTGGGCATCACGGAGCAGTTGCTGCTGGGCAAGATCGAAAGTGGATCGTACACGTTGGAACTGGAGCAGATCCAGTCGCATGTCTCACGGCTGACGAACAAAACGAATGATCAGAACACGATGAGTGCATCCAAGATTACGTTTGAGAATGATTTGCATCTGGTTTTGTACCGCCACTGGCCCGTCACGGAGTCCATGAGGTGAGCATTGACATTTTCCAATCCATTTAACCATGACACTTTAATCATGTGAGTCCTCGCCAGGTATTCCCGCTACTCCTCATGCCAGCTGAAACTGTGGACACTGCGCGGCGAGAAGAGATTACACGAGCTCCTGCTCGAGATGGGACTGCCCTTGGTGCACGCCCGCCAAACGTACGGAGCCATGGATTTGGTGCTGCGCAAGGAGTTTTTCTCGATGGTGGAGCGCCTGGCGGAGAAGTACGACATAGCGGACATAGTCTATGGAACTTTTACGCTGAGCTACGGTTACCGCAGTAGATATGCTGCGGCGGACTACGTATATGCCCTGCTCGCCATCATGGAGTCTGTGAAGAAGCACAAGACTCCGGAGGATTGCTTTCTGGAGGCCTCCGATGCTCTGAGTCGTCAGCACAAGCAGCTTCTGTCTGCGGGAATCGACCAGGCGAAACTTTTGCACGCTGCTGTTTTCCGGCAGGTGCAGAGCAGCTTGGAAGCACGCCAAGTTCACTCAGCTGGCTCCTTTTTCTACTACGTTCTGCAGGAGGAACACGCGTTCTTCTCATACCCCTACGCCCTCGGCCTGCTGGCACGCTTTCTGTTGCGCGGACATGTGGCCACGAGTAGGGCCAGACAGGCTCCGGATTTGCCGCTGATCGCGAGTTGTCCCTTGGACGCCGCGGAGGGCATGTGCTTGCTGGTGGGCATTGTGCCTGTGAGGGAAGATTCTCCGCGAAACTTCTTTGGCAAGGCCTTCGAGCAGGCGGCGCAAAAGAGTGGGGTTGCTCTACTGCAGGACTTCTTTGAGCCTGCGGTGGTGCAGCTGCGGCAAAGCGACCTCACCCGCTTCCTGGACTCACTCACGGTTCTGTTGACCTGATCCAAACATCGTTCTACCTGCTACCGACATCCCTGCTCAATCATATTGCGTGCTAAGCTAGTTTTTAAGTCGAGCGACCTCAGTTGTACACTTAGCTTAAGATTTTACCATACCCTATTTATGTGCGATTATGTGTCACTAACTTTTACATTGCGCCCAGGACCAGTCCTATTTCAAAAAAATATTTGTAAATTTGACATAGAATCAATTTAAATTAAAATGTTTACTATGGAATTAAGTGTGTCGATTCACATCATTAATTTACTCGGCTTATGACCGCATCCTTATATTTAGTGCATTTCCCCAGAGGAATTTCCCCAGTTGATGAACTAACCAGATTTGCAGCGTGAGCTTGCTGCGTCTGTGCGTCTTTCTTTAGGGGATTAGCGCTGAGGATGCGGGCTGAGCCTAAACAAGCAGTGTCGTTATAAAATACAGCATATTGTCCTGGGGTAATAGCTCTTAAAGGAGCGTCCAACTCGACATGGAAGCTGTTACTTGGCGAGATCTTCAGGTGGCAGACCACTAGGGGCTTGGTGTGCTGGAAACGAAAGCGACATCTCAAGCTGCCAGTGTCTGAGAGCATCTTTTGGGACTTGGAACACAGCCAGTTGGGTGGATCGACGTCTATGTGGGTGCTCAGGAGGGCGGGATGATTGTGGCCAGCTGCCACATAGATGGTATTGCTGGCGGCCTCTTTTCTGGCCACAAAATAGGGTTGAAGGAATGAGCTCAGACGGCACCGCTGGCCCACAGTCCATTGATGGATGCCCTCGTGGTGGCCAACCACGGCTCCACTATCAATGTCTAGGAAGGGTCCAGTTTTGGATACGATGTACTGCAAGTGGAGGGGAACGAAGTGTGAGTCCGTGGTGGTATCAAGATGTGCAAATGCGGCAAGTGTTTTACCTCCTGTATGAAGTCCTTGAAGTTGCGTTTGCCAACAAAACAAATGCCAGTGCTTTCCTTCTTGTTGGCCAGTCGCTGGAGTCCAATCTTCTTGGCCAAGTCTTTGACCTGGCTCTTCTGCCAATCTCCCAAAGGAAACATCGTGCGTTGCAGAGCCTTGTGGGGGATACCTGCCAGAAAGAATGTCTGATCCTTGAAGGTATCGGCGGGTATTAGCAAGCGGGCCTCGTCGTTGGAGGCAGTTCCCTCCAGGAAGTTGCCCAGACTATTGCCGGCATAGTGACCTGTGGCCACGGCATCGTAACCGAGATTCTCCAGGGCGTGCTTGTGGAAAAGGTCGAACTTAATGTGGCGATTGCACAGGATGTCTGGGTTCGGTGTCAACCCCAGTTGGTAATCGTCCAGGAATTGGCTAAACACCGCCGTCCAGTACTCGCGCACATAGTTTACCTGGCGCAGCTCCACGCCCAACTGGCGGCACGCCCACTCGGCGTCCTTCAGGTCCGCCTCCCCGCTGCAACGACCCACTTCGTCCATTTCATCCCAGTTGCGCATAAACACTCCCAGCACATTGAATCCTCGCTCCGCCAACAGGTGGGCGGAAACGGCACTGTCCACGCCCCCCGACACGCCCACCACTACGTTGCGGATCATTGGGCTAACTTGGCATCACAATAATTTCAAAGTTATGTGACGCACGTTTGACGGACAGCTGTTGAGCCGGCAGCAACAGCTGATGTGCTTTAAGTAGGACCGCACTTGGTTGGTTGTTCGGTATTTATTTGAGGCCCTGTCGGTATTATCGCATCAGTAGCTAACGATACGGGAAACGATACGGGAAACAAAACGGTCCCAGCGACGGTCGACCGCGGTCGTTTTTTTACAGTTAGTTTCTTGGCCGATTTAGCCGCGACTAGTTCATGGTTCGGGAAAATTTGGAGGCCCTCGAAACAAACGTCTGGCTTAGAATTTCGACTGAATTGCGGATTCTCGTGCGAGCCGAAGGAGGAAACACCAGGAACGCCATTTTTTTCGAGTGAAGGTGCGTGTGTGTGAGTGTGTAAGAGAGGAGTCACTTCCGATTGCACGCTTTCCTTTCATCCGTTCTTTATCTGTCTCTCCTTTCAAGTCCCATGCGGCTTGCTGGAGTTTCGGAGAATTCCGGTGTTTCTATTTCTGCGTTTCTATTTCGGTGTTTCTAGATCTGCGAACTTAAATTCACCGAGTATTATAGGCCACCTTCTCAATTCTGAGAATCGCGTTTGTGGTACAGTAGCTTTAACCTGAGAATATAAAAGTGGAGCGAAACTTCCAGATAACAAGTCAAAACATGCTCATTTTCGATGTGGCTTCTGAATTATTTTGAAACTACAAGCGCATTTCTGTAGAGATATGTGTGTGACACTTGTGTAGAGACACATACAAATTAGTAATAATTCATTGAAATTGTGTGAACTTTTAAAACGACATTTCCGTGCTAACAGGTATTTCCTAAATCTTGATTTACATTATAATTATAGTATTTTATCTATTTTTTTTTTTGTTTTCATTAGGAATCAGTTTTCAAATATAACTATAACCTAATGTGTAGCTCTAGTTGTTTGTTCTTCAAGTTTTATATACACTACTAGGCATAATTATTTTAACAAAATGTAAGGCTTTATAGAACTAATTCATTCTTTTTTTCTTATCAAAATATCGGTTAATAGATCTTTAAAATAATTCAACAAAATTTATTTCATGAAGAATTGAACAAATATAAACTAAAATAAATACCACTGGCATAAATAACTTGGCATAAGTATTTTGACGAATGCTTTTTATTAAGAAAATAACAAGTTCTTTGTGATATAGGCTTGATTATATAATTTGAATTAATAAAACGAACCCTCCTTTGGCATCAATAACTTTTTGAAGTCGATTTGGCATAGAATCGATTAAATTTTTAAGGATATTCAAGGATACATCGTTCCAAAGGAAAACAACTTCACAAATTGTTTCTTCTTTGTTTTTATGCAAAGAAGCGGTTCGCTTACGCTTTATGATGGACCACACGTTTTCAATGACATTCAAGTCTGGACTTTGTGGCGGCCAGCCGAGGATATTGACACCAACGTCCTTCAAAAATTTTGTGATCATGCTCTTGTGGCATTGGGCATTATCCTGCTGCAGGATGAAGGACTCGCCAATCAACTTATAGCCGGAAGGGAATGCGTAATCATTGAGAATTTTTAAATATTGGCCTTGGTTCATCTTTCCTGCAACAGGAACCAAGTCACCCACCCCATTGTATGTAATGCATCCCCAGAACATTACAGACCCTCCGCCATGGCTTAATTTTTGGCAAACGGGCCTTTTTGTTCGTCGTTGTTCGCGTGGCAGCTTTATAAAAATCTTATTTTTGGACGGATTGTACTGAAAGGAACTTTCGTCTGTCCAAAGAACGCTCCTCCAAAACTCTTTTGGCTTGTTGCGATGCTCCTTCGCAAAAGTCAATCTTTTCATTTTGTTTACTTTTGAAATGTAGGGTATTTTTCCTTGGCTCGATACGTCTTGAAGCCAGCTTCTTTCAAACGTCTTCGAACTGTACGTTCACTTATTGTTTTATTGGCTGTCGCATTCCATTCATTTGCAGCAGTTTTAGGCTTGAGATAAATGTTTTTTTGGAATTCGCGTACAAGGATAATGTCTACATTCCTAGTTGTTTTGCGATTTGCACCCGATCTAGGCAAATTATTATACGTTTTATGTGCTTTAAACTTATTTATTTGGTAGTGCACTGTTTGTCGCGAGAGTTTGAACTCATTTGCAATGTCTTTCACGGAAACACCAAACTTCAAACTTTGCTGGTCTATACACTGTGTACTTCGGAATTAGAAATCTAGAATTTTGTGTTAACCAGTTTTCGCTAAGGAGATTTTGAGATTTTTAATATTTTGAGATTGTAGCATTTTAAAGCTGGCAGGTGCCTGGGCACCGCCAGTTGTTGATATACGTCGCTTCATGATTCCTTATTCATGATTTCTTATCAGCAAAAATCAATTTTGTTTAGTTGTCGTTGGCTAAACGATGAAAGATAACGAAAAAGAGTTTAAAGTAAACACCGAAACTGAATTGCGCGTTAAGACACAAGTCCGAACTCAAGCACGATTAGAAAGCGAATCGGGAGATCTAAATGCAAATATTTAAATGTATTATTGACATGATGCGCGGTTGCAGATGAAAGCAGCACTGGATTAATGGGAAAATCGGCTTCGGGGCGTCACATACGTATGTACGAATTATAGGCTACTTTCGCGCTAAGGTCAATTGGGCAGTGTGGCAGGATATATTAAATTAAAATCATTACTCTGTTCGGACTCATGTCGATATCCCCTGGGAACAAAAGGAAGCCAATTAGACCGCTTCAAAGCGGCGAAGCGCAGGGGAGGAGTTTAATTAAAAATTACGCCAAATAGAATCACGAGGGCCGGTCAAGAAAGTGACGGAGGAGGAGGAGGAAGGTCAGCCAGTCTAGCTGCTTTAATTACGGGCCAAGACTCCGGTTTCGGCCAAAAGCTGTTGCGGTTCCAAAAACGTGGCAGCGGCGACGGGCGTCACGACAAATACGATACTTTGCAATGTATACACATTCGTTCTGCATTCAACTCACCAAAAATATAGTTAATGGCGACATAATTGATAAATTAGATTACTAAATATTTGATTGCTGCGATGGAGCACATCTCTGAAGACCTGGAGTGGATCACTTAGCCCAACTTGTACCCTTTTATGCATAATATTGCTGATATTGCTAGAGCTCATTTTGCCATATCAAACCTTTGCTACTTAACACGCGCTCATCTCTGCTGGCAGTTGTTTCAGGATTTTAGATGCTATATTCGCTGGCCTGCCCCAACCACGCCCCCTCTGCGCCCACGTGGCCTCAGCTGTCAGTCTGTCAAATTGTCTAGCAAACTTTTTTGGGTCGCCTGGCACTCAGAGCAAGGAGAAACGAGGAAAAATGCGGAGACACTGAGCCATTTGTCAGGGCTTATATAATTTGGAGTGGAGCACGGCCATGTTGACGCCAAAGTTGGGCGATTAAGTGGGCCGCTGGGTGGTTGCAATTGCATTCGAACGGAAGCATGTAATTACAGAAGCGGCAACGGAAATACTTAACTTTGTTTCGCTGCACGAAAGCCACTGCGAAGACGTAAACAAATATTTAAATGCAAATATATTTAAACAAGCCACTGTTCGTTCGGGTGAGCGATGACAAATGAACACGGGCGACACAGAGACAGTTTTCCTGGGTTTTCCTGAAACTGCTGCATCTCCGACTAATGGCGCCTAATTTAAATTCCGTCCAGCAAGGCACCGCAAAACGACAACCACACACACTAAACCTAGCAGCTTGAAAGGGTTTTTCAATTTCCATTTCGTTTTCCGAAGCCCTCTTGCGACTTTTCCCGCTTTTATTATTTCCTTATTCTGGCTGCTGCGACCGCATTGGCTTGTTGCGCTGAGCACAACAGCAGCACTTTCGCCAAATTTATGTGGCAGAAGGGAAAGATGAGCAAAAAAAGGGGATTGGCGGTACGAAGGTACGGCGGAACCTCAAATTTCCTTCGCACCACTCCTTGAAAATGGGGAAGCTCCCAGGAGACGTGGTTTTTGGGGTTTCCTTTCGGCAGAGTTCCCAGATGATTAGCTCTCCTCAGGCTTTTCCTTTGAAGGCGCGAGTAGCGCTTCCTTTTGGAGCTCGTTTGGGGTTTCCAAACTTGGAGTTCAGAAGCTGCATCCTAAGAAAGTTTCCACTGGGAACTAAGCACCTTTGTTTCCAACGCGTTAAAATAGATTCAGACATACATATGTTATTTATTTATCAGTTCAATTCGCAGTTCGCTTGGGGAATCTGCCTTGCCAGTTAAGAAGGAATCGAAAGTTTGTTTCATGATGGTGGGGATTTTACTTGAGTGGCTAGTTAGTGGCTAGTATGTCATGTGTGCAAACCGATCAATTTGGCTTGGCCACAGTTACTCTCAGTGTACGCACACTTGCGCTCCACTCTCACCAATGCAGGATGCCTTGGAAATGCAATTTGAATCATAAAATATAATTTTCATTTAATGAATTGGATCATGTTTCAACTTGTCAGCCCAGTTGCGTGCGTGTGTGTGTGTGTGATACACACATTTGCGCAAAAAGCGCAGCACACATGAAATATATGGCATATTTTACTTGACTGAATCGCAAGGCAGCAAAGTGGAAGAATTTGCAGTTTGTGAAAATCTCTTGGTGCGAAAAAGTTTGCCAATGCAGTAGAGGGAACTCTTGGCCTTCGTCTTGTTGCCACGCCCCACACGGCCCACACTTCCCACCGCCCCTCCCCCTTTTCGTTATCAACTTGATTGGGTCGAAAGTATCTCGTAGCTCTTAGCAAAAGAATTCCGCAATGAAGTCGGCAAAACCAACGCAGGGGACAGCGAAGATTGAATGGAAAAATATGAACACAGTGACAACTGGGGGAAAATACAGAAGGTCTTGGGGGCAATTAAACCCCTGGAATCTTTTCTGGATGTATTCCGTAACAAAGAAGTACTGCAGGGTGTTTTTTTTACTACCTTACATAGATTTAGAGACTGATCTCAGCACTGTGTTTTGTGAACGATTTGGCTCAGTGCTCTGTTGGCTTCTGAGCATCTATGTCTGTGGCTTGGCCTAATCCCGCCCAGGCAGCATTGGCCTGCTTGTGGGTTATGCAATAAGCTGTTACCCATTTCCTGCCCGGCGTTCAGGTGAGCGGCTTCCGAGTGAGGGCTCAAAAAAGTGCACCACAATGACAAGTATCCCATAACGGGCGTTTGACGGTGGCCTTGCTTGTCCTCATTCGTGTACCACCACCCCCAGAGTCACCCAACCACCCACTCCCCACAAGGTCTCGCCATGTTTCATGATGTCCTTTTGGGGGCTGGCTGCATTGTCTGGGCAACTGGCAACAATAACCGACGGCGACAAAGAAGTGCACAAACGCCAGAGGAAAAGCGAAAGAACACACACATAAAACATATTTTTCGGCCAACTATAATCCAAGTGGTTACCCCGAAAACAGGCGAAAAGTGGAGGGGGGAATTCCCCGGAATGCGGAGATTTTATTTAATGGCATTAGCCAGCAGCCAAGAGGTCTGCAAATGCGATGGTTGGTTACCCCTTGGCTTTCCTGGATTGCCTTCCATACAAAGGAAGTTTTCAACATTTCCAATATGCAATCTCTACTTCAACATCCCAGCTCAAACCTCTTTAACCAGTAACTGAACTCTTGAACTGCTTAGTTGGGCAACAGAAATTCGTGCGGTTTCTTATGCAGTGCTTATTATTGGCCTCTGCTTTCAATTTAAAGATAAGGACTTTCTTTTGGTATCCTTGCTCTTATCGCTATGCACAATTTTCTATTAGGGGGCGGAGAAAATTGGCAAATTGGCAGCACTTCACCAAGCAACCG